AAATGTGTCTGTAAATTAGAAATGTGCAGCTCTTTCTCTGGCCTCTTGTCCATTATCCCTGACCTCCCCCACCCCTAGCTCACTATTGATGGCTGTGCTATCAGCTGTCTAGGCCTTAGCTCTGGAATCTCTTTCAGTTCCTACCTTAAAGATGCTGATTAAAACTTACCTACTTTGTCCAAGTGTTTGGCCATTTATCCTCATGGCTCGATTGTGATCAATGTTTATCTAATGATACTCATCTGAAGTACTTTGGGAGTTTTACTGGGATCAAGGTTGTGTATATATATATATACATATATATATGAAGGTAATTGTGCTAAAGATAGAGGGGTGAAAGTGGGGAGTCATTTTCAAACAACCCCTTGAGTGAAAAGGTAGCTTATGTAGTTTGCGTAGTGGTCACCTGTCCCACCAAGTCACATTTAGTCTCTAGAGTCAGTTGGAAACTTCCCCAGTGTGTGTGTATGTGTGTCTGCGGCCCTGGGTCAGTTGGTGTTGGAATAAGATGGTTGTACTATAGTGCTTCAGAGGAAGGTTTAAAGCTGCGTGGTCTCTGTTACAAAGTTGTGTCGAGTAATTGTGAATTGGAAGGCAGGAAGTTAGAATTTATTTGTAAAAAAAATGATAAGGGAGAACAGTGCATGGTCCCTTTAAGAGATAAAGTGCTTTTCTAAACCGAGAGATTTATACAGAAAACAGGTCTGCAAGCAGCTGCAGATTACAGGCAGTTCTAAAAATTGAAGCACGTATCAATTGGCTGTGTGGTTGAAAACCTTACGTTTGTTTTGATGTTTTGGAAACCAGCCTGAATCAGCTATCATTTTAAACCAAGCACTTAGAACGGAAAGCCAATTGAGTTTAAATCTGATGGTGTTGACTACTGGGGCCAAGCCTAGTGTAAGAAATGGATAGGCCAACAAGGGTATAAAAAGAGGGCATTTGGAAAATCCGCAGAGAGCCAACTGCCATCTGAAAGGGTGAGAGCAAACCTGCCATTTAAGGAATAAATACCAAGCTCTCTCTCAAAATCACTGAGCTTTCTGAAAAAAAAAGCACCATAAAAGGTATGACAGCACTTCTAGCTAAGAGACCTCACAGATGAAATTACAGAGAAAACATCCCTGACAGCAGGATCAGCAGAAGAAAGGCTGGAGAAATAATGAAGAAGGCAGAGCATTCCAGAAGACACATTCTGTGTGAACTTTGAGAGACTAATTTTAATTTATTGTTATCTTATTACTCAGATCTTTGTAAGTGGGACCTGTGTTTATTGGAACAGCATACCAGTAGAATTCAGTTCAGTTAGGGAATAGTTAGTTGGGGGGAATTGTTCGGCTTGTTAGTAACTGTTAATTTTTCACTGTTAGGGTTAACTAAATAAATTATTACTTGTTACTTATAAAATGAGTATCAGGAATTCCTTTCATTTAATTCTTTTAACAGATTACGAGGGGCAAGGTGAGCTTCTCTGGGTGTTGCGGGTTTAATTATTAGAAGGGAACCTATATTCCTGCTATAACAGATTAGGGTTGGTATTTCAGTTTAATTATCAGAGGGGGTTGACCTTTAACCTCCCCGTTGTTACATCTCCAATGGGTGCTGCATTACCAGAAATGTCATCACAGCTGTCTTACCTTGTTGATGTTGATTTGACAGCGGTGATGAGGAATTGTAGGGAGTTCTCCTGGTTACCTCATCAATCGTTCCCTATCAACTAACATTAGCGCTTAAGACACTGATCAATTATTCATTCACCTAATAGCCTACAGCCAGCACCTCAATGTTAGAAATAAATTTATTGTCACATGAACTCATAAGAGCGCAGTGAAATGTTTACAAAGTTGCCACTTACGTTGCCACCTTAGATACAAAAGTACCTAGATACAGGATCTTAGGTATAAATTAGAAAAATAAAGAAACAAAACGTTCAGCATTACAGTACAGTCCTTCATGCAGACCGCAATGAGCTCACCTCCAGTCCGCTGCTAGATACAACTCTCTGTCTTGTAGTGATTGTGACAAGGTCAGCCAGGTGGACCTCATAGAATATGGTTTCCCTGATTGGGGCTGTTAACCTGGTCCAATCAGGGAGTCCTGGCTGACAGATAGAAACAGGAGTGTCAGAGGTTTTGCTCACTCTGAGAGTAGCTCTAGGGAGCTGGATCAGTGTTAAGAACTCTCTGTGTAAATATAGGCTAACTAGGTGACAGGATACTGGCCTCTGCAAAGTTTATTTCATCTCTGCTGCTGCAAAAAGCTTGAGTTCTTCATCTGCTGCTAGACTCATTCTGTTGGTGTTCCTTCGCCTGGACTGGAGGAGATAGCAAATGAGAGAAAGCTGTTTTGCTAAATTTACCTTTGCCAAGGGTGTGTTTATGGGGTGCTGCTATATTGGAACAGTTGATGAGTAGTAACTAAAATAAATATATTATTTTGTTAAATATTTCAAATAGAGAACTTTTTTGTTTGTATTTTATCTGTAGTGTAAGAATAGGTGTGTCTTGCTTAAAGCCTAATAGTGACCAATCGAATCACATCTGGAAAGCAACACCTTACACTTGCCTTTCAATAAGATAAAAGTTACAGTCTAGGCTATCTGCTTGCTATGTATTCAGGGAGTTTGCTCTGTTCCATAACACTATCCTCCGGGTGAAAATGCTTTTCCTCAAAGCCCTTCAAAACCTCCTGCCTTTCACTTTACAATTGTGCCCCCTTGTTATTGACCCTGCGACTAAGGGGAGTAGCTCACCATGTCTAATAATAGTTTTCACACAGCTGTGTAGGATATTAGAGAAAGCTCTCTACCATCAAAGAGATTCCTTTCTGAACTCTAAACTCCAACTATTCCTTTTTTTTAAACATTCAGGATGATCTTTATTTTGTCAAGACCACAGATTAATAGTATTCTCAAAACTCCTCTTCTTGGTCTTTCTGAGCTGCAAGCACGTTGTTCTACTCACGCTGTCACCTCTCAGCATCTTTATTGCATTGTAATCAAACCTCATTGAAATAAACAACACAGACTCGTTCTATTCTCAGAACATCAAAACTCCAGGTCTGCTTTCCTTCTTTCTATAATCTCCAGGTTTGTTGTTTCCTATAATTAGTCATAGATCATACAGCACAGAAACAGGCCCTTCTGTCCAACCAGTCCATACCGAACGTAATCCCAAACTAAACTAGTCCCACTTGCCTGCTCCTGGCCCATATCCCTCCAAGCTTTGCCTATTCATGTACTTATCCAAATGTCTTTTAAACATTGTAATTGTATCCGCATCCACCAGTTCTTCAGGAAGTTCATTCGACACGCGAACCATCCTCTGTGTAAAAAATTTGCTTCTCATATCTTTTTAAATCTGTCTCCTCTCAACTTAAAAATGTGCCCTTAGTCTTGAAATCCCCCATCCTAGGTAAAAGATACCTCCCATTAACTCTATCTATACCCCTCATTATTTTATAAACTTCTATAAGGTCACCTCTCAATGTCCTATGCTCCAGTGAGAAAAGTCCCAGCCTGTCTTAATAACTCAAACCTTCCATACCTGGCAGCGTCCTGGTAAATCTCTTCTGAACTTTCTCCAGCTTGATAATATCCTTCCTAAAATTGGGCGACCAGAACTGGACACAGTATTCTGGATGAGGCCTCACCAATGTCCTGTACAACCTCAAGATAATGTCCCAACTCCTATATTCGAAGGACAGAGCAATGAAGACAAGCATGCTAAATGCCTTTTTAACAACCCTATCTATGTGTGACACAAACTTCAAAGAATTATGTACCTGCATCCCTAGGTCCCTCTGTACTACTACACTATCCAAGGCCATTCCTTTAAAGTATAAGCCCTACCCTTGTTTGTTATATCAAAATACAATACCTCGCATTTATCCAGATTGAACTCCATCTGCCATTTTTCAACCCATTGGCCCATTTTATCCAGATCCTTCTGTAATCTTAGAAAAAACCTTCTTTACTGTCTACTATGCCACCAGTTTTGGTGTCGTCTGCAAACTTACTAACCACGCCTTCTATATTCTCATCCAAATTATTTATATAACTGACTAAATAGCCTTTACTTATCTTCACTATTCTTGTACTTTGTGGTTGTCTGTACTATTGACGGTGCCCATTATGATTCTCTCTTAGCAAACTAAAATCATGGCTAACTTTTCTAAAGCCTGCCATTTCTAATTTTAACACTCTGAACTATTACTGCAGCCGGTTCAATAGCTCATCTTGCTCCCATGCTAACGTTTCCATCATGGGCCTCTGGTATTCCAATGAAGCTCGACAAAAGCTGCAGAACCTCATTATCTAGGTAGGCACTTTACAGCCTTTAGGATGCAGCATTGAGTTCCACAACTTCAAAGCATGACCCCTGTCCTCCATTTGCCTAACATCCACACCACACCCCCGCCACCCTCCTAGCCTATTAACTTTGCTCTTAGCAGAGTGGATCCATTTTCTCTTTGTTATACCTATCATTTGCATTCATATTACATCCTCCCTTTGTCTTTTGCATTCTCACCATTTATTCCATTTTACCCCACTTTCCTTCTGTCAACAGCATCAAAACCATCAACTTCCAGCCTCTTCCAGTTCTGAAGAAGTCACACGAGACTCGAAATGATAACTCTTACTCTCTCTCCACTGATGTTGCCAACCTGCTAAGTTTCTCTAGCAATTGCTGTTTTCTTACCTCAGCTGGGACCAATCAATGCAGCAAAAACCAGAGATTGAATTTTGAATTTTCTGCACAGTGTACTTTCATACTAGATGTCGTGCAGATAATTATTGAACTATTGGGATTCCTGATTGAATATATTTTTTAAGTCAATTAATTTGTTTCTATTTGTTTTGACATTTCCCTTCAAAAAACAATGTATTTAAACAGACTTGACATCATTGATCCTAGGGCTTGATGCCTACTTTGTCCTGTCTGGGGGTGTGGTTGTGTTTATTTTTATACCCTTTGTAAATTTTCATTTCCTTGTTACAGAAATTCTATTGGCACAAGAACCTTAATCGTTGGTGATGGAGCCAATGACAGAAGCAATGCGGAAATCCCTCCGAAATCAAGCCCTGAAACCACTTCAAACCTGTCAGTTGCTATGGAGCTTCATTTTGCTATTAATTATTCCACTTGCGGAAACATGGAAACAGAACCTTCCAAGACTCAAGCTTTTTCATAAAGGTAACAATTGGAAAGAGGCTATTGACATGTAGGTCTTGGACAGCAAAGAACTTTTGAGATGGTATTGTCTGCATGTTTTAGTTTGTTTTGGATATTGAATGCAAGAGCTCCCTGCTGGTATTCACTCAGTATTAAAGGTGATGTGTTTATTGGCCAACTTTAGCACAGGATGTTTCTGAAAGTTTAGATGGCCTGAGGGTTATTTATAGTTGTGTTTTCAAAGAGATGTCAATGGAAAGGTCCTCACTGATGTGTTTGTCAGACAGCCTTTCAGTGCATTGCTGGATTACATTTAATTGCCATTACACTATGTAATGAAACAATGAACTTTAGTTCTCTCTGTATTGCAGCGTTTATATGGCAGCAAAATATCAACCAGCAGCGGCAACACTTTGGCACCAGTGCTAATATGACTTGAGTGGCAGAGAGCCAACCCGAGTCTTTGATTCTTATTGCTGCTGGCTAACACTGTTATTTCCTGTGTCTGAGTTGCACATGGGTAAATTGGCATCCTGTAAATGAAAAGCACATTTACGGAACACCTCTGCAGTGCAAACCATTCCCCAACTTAATATCTTTATTTCACTCTGCCACTGGAATTGCAACAACAGCTTGAAATTACGCGATGGCTTTAATGAGATAAATATGTCCCCCGTGGTTTACTGGAGGAGAAATTGAAGACAATTTGACTTGTATTAGATGACCAAAAGTTTAGTAAAAGGAATTAGGTTTGGTGTTGGCTGCCTCCCATCCTGAGACGATAGTTGTCCTGTATTGGTCAACTTTGTGTTCCGTCACTCTGTCCTAACAATCCCTGCCTTATCTGGCCGTAGAGGAAATGGGTTGAGAAGACGCACAGTTTGCTGACCTCTCTCTGGGGCTGTTCTCAGTTAGCTGTTCCTTTTTGGCTTTTGATCACCTCTTCCATCTGAAGAGGTGTAACAAACAAAAACAGAAACTGCTGGAGAAACACAGCAGCATCTGTGGAGAGAAAGCAAAGTTAATGTTTTGAGTTCAGTGACACTTCTTCAGAGTTCTGCTGAACTTCTGCAGCAATTTCTGTTTTTGCTTGTTTCAGATTTCCAGCATCAACAGTTCTTTGTTTTCTTGTACCAACTAAAGAGGCCAGGGGGTCTAATAACTATCACTCAGTTTTCAGTGTCATCACCATCAGATTGCAGATCGAGATGTCATTGTAGGGGAGGACTGGATCAGTTCACCATGCTGAAGGTCTTTGGATAGATGATAATTGTTTATCCAATTAATCTAGGTTTTAGGAGCAACTGCTGTGAAGATATCTCATATTTAATCATTTCGGTGCATTGAGTTTGAAGGAGGGTGGAAATGCTTGGATTGTTTTCTCTCTGAGATTAATGAAAAGACATTTGTCCTTTTTTTTGAAAGCAAGACATTTCTGGAAAGCACCATGATTGCAGATAATTGCTGACCTTGGTTGCTTTAAATCTTTGTATCAATTATTTTAGGTCTCATTTTCATTCTTATGCCTAACTTTTATCCTTATTTGCTTTAAATCTTTACATCTATAATTTTAGAGAATAATTTTATCACCCTTAAATAACTTTTTGGGATAGTTGTCTAATAAAGAGGATTAGATAGGGTGGACAGTGGGAGCCTTTTTCCTCGGATGGTGATGGCTAGCACGAGGGGACATAGCTTTAAGTTGAGGGGTGATAGATATAGGACAGATGTCAGAGGTAGGTTCTTTACTCAGAGAGTAGTAAGGGCGTGGAATGCCCTGCCTGCAAAAATAGTAGACTCGCCCACTTTAAGGGCATTTAAATGGTCATTGGATAAACATATGGATGATAATGGAATAGTTTAGGTTAGATGGGCTTCAGATTGGTTTCACAGGTCGGCGCAACATCGAGGGCCGAAGGGCCTGTACTGCGCTGTAATGTTCTATGTTCTATGTTCTATGTTCTAAAGTAACCTGTTAAGTTTTGGAAGTAAAAAGCTGTATTGCTGGTTACTTTTAAAATGAAGCATTTGAAACGATCATAGTGCTGCTTATGAGCCTTCAAAAATCATTAGTACATGGACGATTCTGAGGAAATTCCTAGTGACCATGTGGTCAGAGTGAATGAGAGCTCATAATAAGAAAAAAAGCTCTGAAAATGCTCCATTCCATCCACTTCCCTGTGTGCCTCAAAAACTTGGTCAATAATTAAACATGTATATGGATAAAAATAGAAGCTTTTAAACTGTGGATGCTGAGATGTTTGCTTACAAGTCCTCTTTATGACCGTGAGACAAATAAAGAGGTGCTTGAAACCACAAGGAAGAAAGAATTCTTTCAAAAAGGAGCGATGTTCAGAAAAGAAAATGATAGCCATTTGATCAAAGCTGAGAAGCTAGGGCGATCTGTTTAGGAGGGAAAGGTGAAGAGCAGCAGAGAGAGAGGCTTGGTCTGGGTGGAGTTGGATGGTGGCTGTTACAGTGTGGTTTCAGACTGATCACATTGAGGATGAAGGTGGATGAGCACTGTGACTGCAGAGTTGTCGCTCCAATATTAATTACTGCGGGTGAGTGAAATTCAGTACCTGAATCTGAACACTGCTGGGATCAGCCAGGTGGTTTGCTTTAGGCACCTTTAGATTTCAACGAGTGTGTTATAGTATAAAATACCCATCTGGGTTTTTCCATCAGTTATTCTAAAGCATGTAATTTATAGAACGTTTATCTGCAAAGCTGTTTCAAACCTGATATTTCTATCCTGATTTAGTTCCAGGCTTTGTTCAATGTATAATTAGGGTAATTGTAATCTAAACTTAGTGCTGACATCTTTTCTCAAGATATAAACACGCAATTAAATGCCAACATGACTAAAAGAGGAAAAGCTTGCAATGTGGTCATGTTTTCTTGGCTATAGAAGAAGACAGTTTTCTATGTACTCAGATTATACAGCATAGACTGACACGAAAGACTTTATACCTTTAACTGTCATTAAAATCGAGGTAGAGTTATGCAGCCTCTGCAGATGTGGTAAAGGTACAGTCAAACTATTGGCTCCTTTTGTCCCCAGCCTTTGCTGAATCCCAGAAGCTTCTTTTTCCAGTTCGCGTCTTCTGAGTTTAAAGAGGGAGTTTCAGATGAGCTCTCTGTAGGAGTGGCTGGGTCTGGGGATGGTGGTGGTTTGGCAAAAAATAATTGTGACATCTCCAAGTGGGCCTGCTCCTATTTGCAATGTTTGCCAACAGTCACTGAGTCAGGAAGCTAATATTTTAAACCTTTCAATCTTCCTGAAATTTGGGTACTACCAGTACTCCCAAGAACGAAGCACTTGGAATTATTTCTCTGATATGAAGAGAGTACCTTTGACTTGCAGGTCACTTTCCTTGACTGGGGTTGCAAGTGGAAGTATTACTTTGCCTTTTAAATAAAAATAACAAATCCTGGAAATGCCGAAGAAGACTTAGACAATTATTTAGAGTAAAGACAAGGCAAATTATTGAGTCATGATCTTTCATTCCCCTTCTGTCTGCCATGGGTCATCTTAACACTGACAAACCTCACTGACCAATATTGCAATGGGGAAAACAGGTTGTTTGTGGAGATTTCAGATTGAAACTGGTTGGATTTTTTTCCCCACCTGTTATTAATACAATTCTGCGAGTAGATGGCAGGATCACAATAGCCTCTCATCAGAACATGACTTTGCAACAACACCATAATGAGTTTGAAATTCTAAAGTTTGTGCACCATCCACAAGTTTTATTTTGAGCTCCACTGCTACAGAAATTGATATCACCAATATTTTGTACCTATGAAAGGAGCAATGCTTCCTGACCCAGCATGACACCTTCCACTGGCCATGTACAACCTTTTGGATCAAGAATGTGATTCATGTCATTTTGTGAAATAAATCCTTGATTCCCTGAAGCTTATCAAAAAAAACAGCCTAGCTTGAATGTCTCTAATCTCCACTGTGGCCGAGCTGTAATTAAAACTGGAGAAGGGTATTTGGATCAGTCAGTAAAGTGTCAGGATAGTAGTGATCTTTTATGTTTCTGTGGAATTCAGGAAAGAAACAGAATTTAAATGAAAGGACAAGTAAAAACTGCCTTTATTTTTACATGCATTTCGACTTCCCTCAATGGGCCCTGGGTTAGCTGCTCACTGAAAGCTGTCTAATGACATAACATGGGTTACAATGCCAAAAGAAGTCAGGATTTGCAAAGGACTCAACTTTAAGTCCACTCTGTCTTAATGGAAGGTGCATGTGACAGCTGGTGAAAAACATTGCCATGACCTAGCTGTACTTTTCCAGCTTTCGTGAAGCTGTCCTCAGATTCTTGATCGTTAGTCATTCTCATCTAACACAGACATTTTTGTCCATTTATTTTTCAATACCACCCTGACTGCAGAGAGCAGAGCAAGTGGAAATTCCAAGCTGTGATGAGCAGAGGAACTTTTAACATCATCCTTTTGTTTGCTTAGTAGCTGCTGGAAACAACAAACATGTGAAGGAAATGTGAGGCTGTCCTTTACAACTTTAAACCAGGTAGCCCAACACTTTTATGAGCTCGGCAGGCCAATCTGCAAATCTGGGATGTGCTTTGCTTTAATGCTTGACAGGCCTGTATCTTACAGAGTTAGATCAAGAGTTTAGATTAAGTTATGGAATAAGGAACCAGAAGATCAGCAATTGCTGGCAGCCCCAGAGCAAGGTAAAACTATCACAACAATCTGTTTGTTTAGGATGAGCTAGCAAAACAGTTTAAATTTCTTCATTCTGTGTCGAACATTTACAGTGAAATGTAGCATTCAACAGAAAATAATTCTGTCACAGTTCTGCCTTCGTTCCTTACAAACAATTTGGTGACTACAATTATTTTGCTATTTGACTCAAATTAGCTGAAATTCTTGCATTCTAAATTAAAAGTGTTAGTTTATTGTAATCTGAGCATCATCTGAAACGTTTATCTGAGTTTGGGAGCAGCTGTTAGCCAGGCCGAGGTGGGAATATTGCTGCTTCTTTG